AAATTGAAGTGACTGTTTCACGAAGCGAAATTAACTTTAATCATGATTAAATCACTAATCATGATCAACTTCCCGTACTGAAATTGAAGTGACTGTTTCACGAAGCGTAATTAACTTTAATCGTGTTAATCACATCAAGTTAATCACAATATTTAATTCTACTCAGGAGCATGATTAAATCAACTAATCATAATTAGTTGCTAGTACTAGTAGTAGTATGTAGGTAGTACTGTATGCTGCAGATTTTACAATTGGAAATTTTACTTCAACTTTTTCCCATGGAAATTTAAATTATCTAAGATTAGCTGTACTAATATTTAGTCATTATAATTGCAAATTAATTCCTTTTCATGTACCGAATTTGCAGATACTTTTGGTGTTGTCCGCAATTTTGAATACAGTGTAATTCATGTTTAAGTCGTTAATTTCGCACCCTGGCTCACTTACGCTCATAGGGTCTATGTCCCCCAGGGTACTGCCGGAACGTACCCTGGTAACTATTTGATATGGTTAGGGTTAGGGTTAGGGTTAGGTTTAGTGTTAGTGTTAGAGTTAGGGTTAGGGTTAGGTTTAGGGTTAGGGTTAGGGAGTAGGCGTAGGTGACTCCCTGGACTCGTTAGTGGAGTAGGCGAGGTACGGTCCGGCATATTAGATAGTACCAGGGTACGTTCTGGCAGTACCCTGGGAGACATAGACCCTCTCAGCCTCACTTACCGTGATGATGTAATGACCTGATCGGTCAAACAGGACGCAGTAGACGGACGACAGGTGACCGAGCGTGCGCAGATGCAGCACCATCTTGTGGTAGAGACGGCAACTACCGAGGTGGGCCTCCGCCGCTCCGCTGCGCATCTCTCGTGCTGACAGCAGGAACTCTGCAAAACAACGGAGCGTCTGTACAGAGCAGTCCACCTAGCGGCGTTGACTCGTCCGTTTCTGCGTCTATCTGTCTATCCGTCCGGCTGTTTGGTTGCGTGCATGCGTGGTTGACTTCATGGTCGTTTTGTATGTGCTATTACAAACAATGACTGACTAGGGTTGTATCAATCATAGAGAAAGGAAAGAAGAGATGAAGAGGAGGAGAAAGAGAGAGCAGAGAGAGAGAGATGATCGAGAGAGAGCTGAAGCAGAGAAGGCGGGGGAGGGAGAAGCAGAAGAAAAAAAAAAAAAAAAAAAGAGAAAAGTGAAACGGAGAGACGAGAGATGAGCAAAGATAGAATGAGGAGCCTGGGCGAGGAGAAAGAAAGAGGAGAGAGAGGGAGAGAGGCGGGGAGGAGCGGAGAGGCAGAGATGAGAAAAAAAGAGAAAGAGTGGGAGGGAAAGAGAGGAGCAGCGAGAGAGAGAAAGAAGGAAAGAGGGAGAGAGAGGAGAGGCCCCACCGGCGGGCTGGCGAGAGGCAGCATGAGAGAAAGAAGAGAAGAGAGTGGAGAGGAGGAGAGATGACGAGACGGACGAGAGAGAACGAGAAGATTAAGAAAGAGCGGAGAAGAGCAGAGAGATTTGATGAGAACCGAGAGAGAGAGACTGAGAAGAGAGAGAGAGCAGACAGCAGAGGACGGGTAGAGGCAGAGAGCAGAAAGTCAAGATGAGCGAGAGAGATAAGCAAAGACGGAGAGAGAGAGAGAGAGGAGAGAAAGAGAGAGAGCGAGACAAAATGGATACATTAATCGAACCAGAACGCTACAGCATAGACAACTTTATGCGAACAACTGAATAGATATAAATGCAGACAGAGACTTTCAGCTTGCACATGACTGCGACAATTATATTAACGCCGAACAAGATGACAAAAGCATTTAACGCCGCCGCGACGACACACCAATGCCACCTGGTGGCAGATGGCACGTGCACACTTACCGATGTTGCCTGGCTGAAAGCTGTTGTGTGGCGGTTTGAGCGGGTTGCCATGGCGACAGGCGGTGTGGTGGGAGCGCGTCCAATACCTGGCCTTCAGGTCTGTGAGAAGATAGGGAAAAAATGATTTAATTTATTACATTGGTAGCAAGGGGAACACGTGGCAGCAATACATGTTGCCATCCATAAGAACATGGCCGCCCACAGGAACAGCAAAAATACTGATGACCATGACATGATCTATGATGATGATCATAATAACATAATAAGAGACTCCTGACATGATGAATATAATGGCTTTCCCTTCTTCTCCCTCCCCCTCCACCTTAATTCCTTCTAGCTCCCCTCTCTATCTCCCCTCCCACCCTATCCTCCTCTTCATTCACCGCTCCCTCCCCCTCTCCTTCTCCCCTCCCTCCTTCTCCTCACTCACCCCTCTCTGTGCGCAGCAGTGACTGTCTACCCTCCCCTCCCCTCCCCTCCTCTCCCTGCTCTCCCCTCCCTTCCTCCCCTCTCCTCCTCACTCACCTTCCCTCTCCTCCCCTCCCTCCTCCTCCCCCATCCCTCCCTTCTCCTCCCCCTCCCTCTCCTCCTCCTCCCCTATCCCTCCCTCCTCCTCACTCACCCCTCTCCGTGCGCAGCAGTGACTGCCTCCCGGAGCCGAGCAGAGATCGCACGCCGGCGACGCTGGGAGCGATGGAGGCATCGAGAATCGGACCGACGCGCTGGCACACGCGCAGCAGGTGGTCCGCCGCCACGTGAGAGTTGTTACGCAGCTGCAGGGAAAAAATTGGTGTAAATTTATTTTTCGGGGGCTACTTTTCAAGCTTGCGTGCATGAAAATAGCACTCTAAAATTTGGTTTGCATTGAACTCTATGCAAATTTACGGAGGCACTTTTTGCCATTTCGGGGGCTAAATCGCCCCGAGTCCCCGTGTATTTTTTTCACTGCGCAGCTGCGACGAGAGAGAGACACACGTGAGAGTTGTTACGTGTGCGTGCATGTGTGCGTGTACGTATCAGTATGTATATTATATATATGTGTGTGTGTGTGTGTGTGCGCGCGCGAGTGTGTGTGTGTTTTTACATATACATCAGAGATGAATAACAGCACAATCTCTGTTATTCACTTCTGACACAGAATTTGTGAAGTAAATGTATCATATATTTTTCAACGCCTGATGTTGATTTAATTCTACAGACACCAAACGCGTGAACTAACGCAACCAATGCTGCTTAGCATGGCTAACGCTCTGTTCCCAACTTTGATATCATTAATGATTAATTTATCAAAAATGATTGATAATCCTAACCCTCACCCTAACCCTAACCTAAATAACATTAAACCACAAACTAATATATGACCATGACCATATATATATATATATGTATGTTATTATGACAATTAATGACATTAAAGTTGGAAACACTCCTAATAGAGTATCACCCCTCACTTAGCATGACCTTCTAAACAATGCAGGAATTACAATTTAGTGGACCAGAAATGTATAACCTGCTTCGTACATGTACATTGTATGGACTAGCTTCTACATAGTATGATCAGTATCTCGATTGTAGATAATAAATTTTATTTCTCATATGGATTTAAAAACAACAGTGTGTGTGTCATGCTCATTTTCTAGAACTGTTTTATTGAATTCCGTTGAAAAGTCACTTTGTTTGTCTCTGTCTATGTATTTGCCGCCTTCGGCACTGCGATAATATATGTCGTCTGGACACTGCCAACGCACACAACCAGCGACCAATCAGAAGCCGCGTTACAATCTACTCTAGCGGATCAATACATCGTTTCGAAACGAGCCAGGTAATTCGTCGGTCGTACATGACGTCACCAACCTATTTATACAGCACGGCTAACCTCTGGAAAGGGCAGATTTATCCATTTTTGCCAATTGAATGTATTAAATTGTCTCAAAACTTTTTTTTCGATATATACATTTTCGGAATCACCGCAACGCGCTCTCTCCAATGCTACCAAGCATTCCGTAAACTTTAACCAAAAAAATTGACATGTTTTCGACCCCGAATAGAGACAACTAAAACTTTTGCGGAGATTCTGAGCATACATACCAATTCTTCGAAGGTTTGATGATGTTCTCCGCCCGTCCAATCCAACCTTTTAGGTAAAACCTTTCCGAAAACAGCATTCGTTAGAACAAAGGATATATGACCTTGAGGCCATATTTTGCCACGTTCACGACAAATTCATACACAATTTTTTGATAATTTACATAAACACCGTTTCTAGGCGACGTGTAAACGATAACAGCGTGCTTTGGAGCGCAAATATGAGCGAAATGCAGGTAAGACTTTACCTTGTGTTTTTCTAGCTCCTGGCAAAGGACCTGCAAAACGAAGAAAAGCGTAACTACACGACACAAACAACGAAGGAGTGAAGTGGGTTTTTAAAAGAAATGTGAACTTACCTGTGCAGCTTCCCGGCAAGGACCGACGGAAAGAAATCTTGCGATGAGGAAGTGCAACTCTGCAAGTACAAACAGCATGATTTCAATTTTGCTGACCTCTCATTGAACACGAATAAGAGAAGTTTGCAGCCCAGTAACACGGCAAAACTCACCCAACTCCAACTCGGACATCTCTCTAGTTTCACATTTAACGTCTTTCATGGTAATGTAATATACAGGGTTTGAAAAAATCGACGGAAATAAACCGGGTTCACACAACGCTATACCGACTACTCGCCATTTTGGGCGAATTTTTATTGACTGTGCGCATTGATACATTATGCTTACTGTAGGGCCGTGTGACGCACCGCTGGTTACACTTGCGCAGCTTGGGTAATACGATGTAATCCTATACCAAATTCAAACAGCTTGCTTTACGCTATTATTTGAAATGCGCCGCAAACATTCATATTCCAAAATTTAAAATTACATTTAATGTGTAATTTGCACAGTAGCAGTGGCATAGTACTAGCAAAGCTAGACTAGGAAGAGTAGCAGAGTACAGCTACGTACAGCGCCAATATCGTTGACCTGATCTGGCGCGAAATTTGTCTTCGTATAGAAGTGCATGCCGTGACATATACACGCGTAAATATTCTGTGATGCATATACACAGTGAACCTACCCTATGTAGGATATGATAAAAATTATGTGACTACACTTATGTTAGCTGCATTAGCTCACTCACACACACGCACGGGCGCACATACACACGTACGTCACATGCACGCACGCACACGCGCACGCACCCACGTACGCACACACACAGCGCACGCGCACCCCCCACCCCCACCCCACACACAAACACACGCTAATGATTTATGATTAATTAACAAGCATGCATGCACGTACGCGTAGATGACAGGCCATATACAAATATAACATTAAGCCTCCTAACAAATGAGTTAATCGTAGCTTGCGGTTTCTTTTTACTTTACCATAATCCGTATTAATTCCATGTATCGCGTATGGTTCTAGGACAAATACCCCCCGCGGACAATTACACCCGGACAATTACCCCCATGCTATTCACCCCCCGGACAATTACCCCCGGACAATCACCCCCGGACATTTACCCCCGGACAAT